ACGGCGGTGCACATGTCCTCGCCCGCGCCAGGCGGACTAGACCTTTCCTCCGACAGGCTCGGAATTGTTTCGCCACGTCGTCACACACTCATATGTTATTTTTCAGCAAAGTTAAATGTAGTACCAGTTATATTTCTTTACCCCCATTCGTGTAACTGTTTTGGTTTCTGAATTTTTCTATTTGAAGACATTTGTAAACTACCTCGAAAAGCCGATCGCCTTAATGCCCAAACTATCTCTAGGTCCTTTACCATGTGTTGTGGCCACATAGGTTGCCACTCAGGCTTTAACTGTACACTGATTTTTCTCATGAAGACAGCTTGCGAATATTATACTTATTTTCATATTGACCTCCTGCTCCATCGAAAAAGAGCATGCTTTTTCTCATGTTTGAAATTTTAGTTTTCACGAATTGAATTAGCTATATTTGGAAATAATACACAGCTGACTTGTTATGGTTTAAATCGTCTCATATTATCACAAAATTGTTTGGAATTAAAATTCTTCTTTTGGCCGGAAATAGCACGAAAATGTATGTGTAATAGTTTGAGCATTGTTCCAATGCATTCATTGTATTGACTTGAATTATGAATGTCTCTCCAATAAATTCGGATCTACAACTACGCAAAACTAAAAATATAACGAACAGTATCTCTACAGCAAATTACTTCCCCTATAATTCCTCATTGTTAAGCGAAAACTGCATTTCAATACTTGTGAAACGTTTAGAAGGTATGTAGGTGGCTCACAAATGGTGAAACACCTGGTAAAAATAGGAGTTTCTTCCTTCGAAAATATGTTTCAGTTTCATTTAAAATATGTCAGAATCAATCACTAAACACAAAAAAGTAAGATTTAGAATAATAGTATATACGTATCGTTTTCCTAAGTCCATACAAGGCAAAAATGAAGATGCACTTTTTACTGATAATAACTTTAGCAAATTTCAATTTATCATTAACATTCTTGCACAACTAAAAGTGCAATGTCTTCGCTACAATTTGACAGCAAGAAAACGAAAATCTGAGATGGGGTATTCCAGAAAATGAATTTTAAAAATAATTCGTAATTTTTTACTTTGGTCTTAATATGGCATCATGAATGCCCTTATAATTATGTTTGTCGTTCTAAACGTTCAGGGAGATGTATACATAAGAGATATAAAGCAAGTTGCGAAGTAAAATCAAATCTGAAGAAGTTTCAGTAGTTTTTTAAAATAATACCCTCTGAAGCTTGAACAGAAACTGAAATTTCATAATTCTCAAAATGAAATTAATAGAAGTAAAATTAATGCTATAATCCAACCCCATCCATCCAATCGGAAGATGGTCGGGAAATTTGGGCTGATTTGCCATGGCATGATCCAAGAGTGACTGTGGATTTTCCGACCTTCGAAAATCGCAGCCGGGATCGAAACCGCGCTCTTTGGGTTCAGAGGCCAGTAAGTCAACCCCTCACCCACGAAGACCCTGTGATTTGTTTAACAAAGAAAATTTTTGACCATTAAGCCCATCTCGGGCCTGATATCTATGCTTTACACTCGTTTTTCCAAAAAAGTTGGTCCATCCGAGTGAACCGTATTAGCTTTCAATCTGCTTTCAAGTAGGAATGCTTTTCCAATATAGATATTCCGCTGTGGAAATGAGACTTACGAATTTTGCAGAAAAATTATTTCAACTGACGTTCATATTCCATTTTCAAAATTTCTCCAAAGCTAATTTTGTTTTCATGAATTATCTGGGAATAGGCAAACATGCGCATTATACTGTATTATTCTATATTTAATAAAACTTTTGCCGGAAATAATAAATATCGTCTAGTGTGAACCATTCTGGATACTTAAATTTTAGAAATTTTATTCATAATATAATTCACTCTGCGATGCAAGTTTAAAAAAAAATATTAAGTAACATTTTTTGGATCATAATTAACGCATATACTCAAATTGAATTTCTAGAGTTAGGATTTTATTTTTAAAAAAATGTTTAAAATATTTGCTGCGGATTGTATTGAGTGATTTTCTCTGTTTTCATTATGTTTGATTTTGGAAGTTTTCAAATATTTGTTGTTTTTCGAACTGTCCGGCTGAACTTGCATAGTGCAAACTTAATGCTGTATCTAATAATTGGGTACATTCACATTCTCTGGCGTTTGATTCACTGATTACTCTGATTAATCTCATGTTCGTTGAAATGCCAGATTTTTTAAAAATTTAAAGAAATCCATTTATTCGGCATCTTCCTTAAGCAACTATTGTGATGCCATTTTTTAATGCAATGTGTTCATCAAAAACATCTTTAAAGATGGTAATGTTGAATTGTTCGGAACTATGAGTGTTTTTGTGTAATTTGATGTCAAACATAGTTACCCACTTCGAATTTGCTGCGCATCCTGAATGTAATATTGTAAGTGATTCGATGCATTTGGATGCCATGCAAGTTAGAATGTGTATATTATTTCACATTTTTGTGTTCGTTTCTTATATTCAAGCTTTTATTATATCTTACAAATTAATATTTTATATTTTATTTCAAAACTATTTGATAATATTTTTGCCCCTAGTGCGAGGAACGTATTTGCATTCTCAATGTATTTATGTATTTCGTTTCACGTAATCCTCATAAAGAGCATTTATCATTACATGTCATTACATGTTACAAAAGTGATTTTCATTCGTCTTAAAC